TTTGTTAAGTTGCATAACATTAGCTTAAAAATAATAATAATAATTTTATCAAATCTAGGGTCTTATACATGTTATTTTTTGCATATTAAGTGCTTATGAAGTTGTAATCTCTGGAAAGGTACTACCAACCCTGAAACCATAGATGTTTCTGTATATTTAGAAGAGCAGTATATTAAAAACTAGCTGCTAAATCCACATAATACTCCATAATCTATAGAATGGTACCTCAATATATGAGTGTTTTGAGATACGAGCTGCCAGAGCAAGTGATATTTTGCTTTGAGATATGAGGAATCGCACACTACATCGCTGCACACAACTGCAACAGTCACGTGCATGTTGGTGTTGTGTGCAGCGTCTAACAGTTTCTCCCACTTCAGACTAGACCTCAGTCTGTGTGCTTGTTTCCCTCGTTTTCAAAGGATATTTGATAAGTTGGGTTCGTGTTTTTTTGCTTTTTGTACATTTACAAAACATTATCACATTTATTTTTATAACCATTGGTCCAAAGAAGATGATGTCTATATTGAATTAGAGCGTGAAATCGTAGAAAAACATGAGCAAGGTGTGCGACTAGTTGACTTGGCGAGGATGTACGAGCGTAGCACATCAATGATATGTACTGTGCTTAAACAGAAGGTGTTGATCAAGGGTATAATGCCAGCTAAGAGAGTTACAATAATTTCTAAGCTCCGGACCTCTCTTCGTGAAAAAATGGAAAAATGAGAAGAAACTACTGATTGTGTGGGTGACAGAAGCAGCTCCAAGAAGGAACCTTAACACAAAACATATGTTAGAAGGCATGAGCAATTTATGGTGATTTGCTGAAGCAGATCCCACACACTTCCACAAATGAGGAATCGGAAGACTCGTTTAAAGCCAGTCAGGGCTGGTTTGACAACTTTAGGAAAAGGACTGGCATTCACTCGATCGTCAGGCATGGTGAGACAGCAAGTTCGGATCGTCAGGCATGGTGAGACAGCAAGTTCGGATGTGAAGGCAGCTGAGGTTTACATCAAAACATTTTCCGAACTGATAGAAGCCAAAGGATACATCCCCCAGCAAGTCTTCAGCTGTGACGAGACAGGGCTTTTCTGGAAAAGGATGCTGAATAGGACTTACATAACGGCAGAGAAGACGATGCCAGGTCACAAACCCATGAAGGATAGATGAACTCTAGCACTTTGCGCCAATGCAAGTGGCGACTGCAAAATCAAGCCTCTGCTAGTATACCATTCAGAAAATCCCAGAGCCTTTAAGTCACATAGGCTTTTAAAAGAAAAACTGCCAGTTATGTGGAGGGCAAATCCAAAGGTATGGGTCACCAGGAAATTCTTTGTGGAGTGGATACACCTGGTGTTTGGCTCTTCTGTTAAAAAATATCTACAGGAAAATAACCTACTCATAGAAGCCCTTCTCGTCTTTGACAATGCCCCTGCTCACCCACCAAATATCGAAGATGATTTACTCGAAGAGTTCAAGTTTATTAGGGTTCTTTACCTACCAGCCAACACCACTTCTATCCTGCAGCCCATGAATCAGCAGGTGATTTCTAATTTTAAGAAGTTGCACACCAAGCACATTTTTCGGCACTGCTTTGAGGTGACGAAGAACACAAACCTTACTCTTCGAGAGTTCTGAAAGGACCACTTTAAGATCATGATATATGCCTAAGAATTATTGATCAGGCCTGGCTGGGTGTTACAACGAGGACCTTAACCTCTGCATGGAAGAAGCTGTGGCCTAAAGCTGTAGCTGAAAGGGCCTTCGAAGGATTGGAACCCAAAGTGTCAGTGGTAGAGGAGCTTGTTTCTCTGGGAAAATCCATGAGTCTGGAGGTGGATGAGAGAGATGTGAACGAACTCGTCGAGGAACAGTCTCAGGAGCTGACAACCGAGGAGTTACACGATCTGCATTTGCAGCAGCATACGGTGGTTCAACGAAAAATTAGTTTTGAAGAGGAGCCAGAGATGGAGGAGGTTTTCCCTACAAGAGATAAAACAGATCTTGGGAATGTGGTTAGAAGTTGTAGAGTTCGTGGATAAAAATCACCCCGAAAAATTTGCAACTGGTCGTGCATTGGAGTTGTTCAACGAAACTTGCCTCATTTCCGCAATATCTTCAAAGGGAGGAAGAAACAAACCTCCTTGGACAGTTTTTTTAAACGATCTGCAGGTGAAAATGAGCAAAGTGTGACAAAAATTAATCGCTTCTGTAAGCACTTCACTTTTTCTTTTAATTATGTTTTTATAGAATATGTATTTGTTATTTATAAATAAATGTTTCTTCTTGTAAATACATTTTTCTTATTCAAAAATACTTAACAAAAATAACTGAGGTGGTGTTTTGGGAGCTGGAATGGATTAATGGCATTTCAGTTAATTTCAATGGGGAAAATTGCTTTGAGATACGAGGAATTTGACATAGGGGCAAGGTTACGGAATGAATTAAACTCGTATATCGAAGTACCACTGTATATTCTTTTAACCTTTTTTATTGATAAAGGTAATTTTTTTTAGAAAATTTGTGAGCATTTTGATATTTTCTAAAAACACAAATCGGTGCTATATTACCAATTTTAGTTACACTTTCACATAATTTAACCATCAAATTGTATGAATTTGAATGGTAATTGTTTCGTATTGTGTGCTTTTAAATGATCTGAATAATTTTCAGTTTTTGTATTGTTTTAAATACTGATACAATTTATAATATTCTATGCATGAAATAATATCCCCACTCAGTGTTTAACCAAATTTGCAAAATACACTTATTTCAAAGTCAAGGAATTGTTAATGGTTTGCCTAAGTTAGTGATTGTTTTTAATTACTAATGTAAGTTTATATAAAAGTGAATTGTTTATGCTGTCATTAGCAATTTGCAGTTTTTGCATTTACTACTGTGTTACTTTTATTCTCTTTTGGCTCATGTAGCTGTTATAAAGTGTATCATTACTTAAATCAGTTCTTAAGTGTACCTTATTTGTTTTGTACATTTAATCCACACTGGCGTATTCATTTTTCATGTGAATCATATATACTGGGAAACAGTATTTATGTTGTCTTATATGTGTCACTTGTTTTTGACTAAATTCTGATTGCAAAAGTAATCTTAGTTTTTGTCTATCACGTCTTTGCAGCAGGTCAAGTTGCAGGATACCCTCTCTTTTTCTCAAAAGTCATACAAAATATGTATACAAAGGAAAATGAGGGGAAAACTTATCATATAAGTTGTTCATAAAAATAGTTTTATTCATACGAAGGCTATATATAGTTACTCCAAGTTAAATTTTGTTCATCAAACCTTAAACATACGTATTAAGGTAAAAATTTTCACTTATGACTTTTTCTGGAGTGTTTAATCAGCTGACATTCTCACTTGATGTGCCAACAGTAGTCAGCCATCATATGTACATCCCATGTGCCTTGGTACCATGTCTCCATGACCAAACCCTGCTTATCACTGACTGCAGTAAGATTTTTTGGGAAGTTATCAAGATGGCTATGTAAAAAATGCAGTTTGATGCTCATGCTGCAAACGAGTATTTTGAAACTCTCCAAAAGTTACTGGACAATTTCCTTGTAATTTTGTGCTTGTGTGTCTCCAAGAAAGGTCTTTGACAATGTTTTTGAATGCCAGTCAGACATTCTTGAAGTTCTAATCATCGTTCTGATGAAATATTCATCTTCAAGGAGCTGCTAAATCTGTGGACCATCAAACACGCTGGCCTTTATCTTTTGATCTTTTTAAATGAGAACCTAGGAAATGCCAAAATGAGATACTTTAAACTGTTTTCTTCAATTGGCAAAGCTTTAAAAATTGCCTCATGAGACCCAGTTTTATATGCAGAGGTGGAAATGGAAATACAGTGTTATTTCTGTCAACAAGTGGCTGATGTTGAATGTTTGGATCACCAGATTTCAGGTGAGATCTTGGCAGCCAATTTAACTCCACCCAGTACTTTGCATGATAAAGCAGACCATTTTAAGGTCAATACAGATGATTCAATGATGCTTGTGTTATCACAACAAATCAGTGACTGTCTTTATGGTTCTCATAATCTTCACACAAACAAACTGAATGGCCTGTTGGGCCCACTGAATATGCAGTGTAAAGCATTTTCCCATTGTAAAATGGTATCAGAAGTTTACTGAATTATTGTCACATTTTTTGTGCTCCTTTTTAACTGATTAAATTAATTAGTATTGACAAATAGAATGTGAATTGTAGCAGTATGAATGAACAATTACTGAACACTTTGGTAGCCATAAGTAATAAATAAAATATAAGTAAATGAATCTTGTTCATGGTAAAGGCTTGCAGATTAAGATTGTGCCTGTTATGTATTTTATATTTTCATTAGGAAATCAATCATTTCAAAATCACAAAATAATGCTGCAGCATCAAATATTACAGTATTTTACATAACATTTGCTTGTTTACCATGTGTCAACACTCTTTTCATGATGTTCAGCTCATTGATTTTTTAAACCATGTGTTTTCAGACTAGTAGTTTCATATGTATTTTTATTTCAAAAAAAAAAAAAAAAACACTAGTCTATCGTTTCTGTAAGAATAACTGCTTCTAAATTTTTTGGAAATATCTGCAATTAAAGTGTTTTTTCATATTAAATCCATAGTTATTTTCGAATCCTTTAAAAACTGGAGTTCAAAATTGACAGACCTTCCAAGTAAACTTTCTTGCATCTGCATTCAACAATTTCTCTGCCTGATTTTTTTTTTTTTTTTTTTTTTTTTTTTTTAGATGCTCTTTTAAAGCTTTTTGAATGTAAAATATAACAGTTGAAATATGTGATATATATTGTGTTTTGTTTAGATCTCATTGGTTAGTTTTAAATTAATGATTTTGGTATTGAAAGTGAATTGCTAAAAAAGTTATTTATAATTTACAGAAGTTTAGATTTCTATTTAACAGAATTTCTTTCCCCATTTTTTCTCTTTTTTTTTTTTTTTTTTTTTTTTTTGGCATGCCTGGGTAGCTACTACAACAGGTCTGTTGCTTTTTGTAATTATTTATCTATAGAGTTTATTAATTATTTATCTATAAGAGTTTATTGATTGTTCAGAATTTTTTTAACATAAAACTTTTAGTGCCTGAACTTATAAAAAAATAATTTCATTTTACACTCATGTCCATAAATTAAGGGTAATGCAAAATCAGGCAAAGGAAGAGTTAGAAGCAAAACAAATTTGACTTATTTGTAAAGCTTATTTATGAAACAAAAGGTAAAGAGCGAAAAAAGATGCTGTATGTTGATATTATTAAAAAAATTAGCGATTTTTTTTCTCCCTAAAGCAAATTAAAAAAAAAAAAACCTATTTAAAAAAAAACCAATATTACATGGTTGGTATGATTGTTAATACATTGTATGTCTCCCAGACGATGCAATACAGTCCGTACAATGCCTAGGCATGCTGAGTATCAAATTATCAATCTGATCTTGGGGGATATTACACCACTCAAAAGGCATTGCTCTCCGAAGTTCCAGTAGACATGTAGGAGGAGGTTGACGGGCTGCAACTCGTCGGCCAAGTGTGTCCCATAAGTGCTCTACTGGATTCAAGTCCGGTGAGAATGCTGGCCAGTCCATACGGGTGATATCCTCCGATTGATGGCATTCGCTTACGATGTTTGCACGGTGAGGACGGGCGTCGTCACCCACAAACACAAATTGTGCACCCATGGCGCCCCGAAACAAATGTACATGTTGTTCCAGAATGACGTCCCGATAGATTTGGCTTGTCATGGTTCCAATTTGAACATGCAGGTCAGTTCTGGAACCCAGAATAATTTCACCCTAAACGAGCACTCCTGCACCACTGTAACGGTGTCCTTCAATGATGTTTTCTTGGTGGTAACAGGTAGCTGGAGCTCTCCATATGAAAGTCCGGTGATAATCAGACAGCAAGCTAAACCTGGACTCGTTGGAAAACATCACGCAAGCCCACTGTTGCGGTGTCCACAATGCATGCTCTCTACTCCAGGTTAACCACAGGCGACAGTGAGTTGCAGTAAGTGGAACGCATCTGACAGGTCTACGAGCATATAGACCAATCTGCCCTAAGCGTCTGTACACGGTCTGCCTTGAAATTGTCATTCCAGTGGCTGAAGAGAACTGACGAGACAGGTCTGAGGCTGTGCTCCGCCTGTTTCGTTTGGCAGTAACTGCCAAATACCGGTCCTCATTCGGCGTTGTAACTCTGGGGCGACCTGTGCTGTAACGTCTACTCACATTACCATCATCTTGGAATCGTTGCCAAAGCCTGGAGATGACACTCTGGGCAATTCCAAGTTCGTCTGATACTTCCAATTGGGTATGCCCACATTCCAGACGGCCGATAATTCTACCATGTAAAAAATCATCCAAATGCGTCCTTTGTGTCATAACTATTTGGTTATTGCACTGAAATGCTTTTAAAGCGCCTGCGAACAATTTTACTTCTTAGTGTGTACTGCTTATATATCACTCTCCTACACTCTCGTCATTGTGACGTACCATCGGTGTCATCTGGTTACTTCCTGAAATTTGCATATGATTCTTGAAGATGTGTGTAGTGATTTTACAGGTGATATATTTATTTTAGAGTTCGATTTCCGCGTGACTCCGAATTATCCTTAATTTGTGGACATGAGTGTAATATGAAGAATTCTGTTTGTTTTATATATTATTTTATGTGACATTTTTTCAAACATTTTATTCTCTTAAGAGATTTGATGTTGCACTTCATATTAAAATTAATTACCTGTTTCAAATATAAAACATATTGATGACAAATGATATACTTGTAGGGTCTATATTTATTTTAACCAACATTTATTTTAAGTTTAAACTATCTTTCCTGTCAAGCCTTACTTTCCCCTGGAACTGCCAATGCCAGAGTATGTAAATTTTAGTAGAACGCACAAGGATTCAAATTATCAGCGGAAGTATTCTGATTTAAATAGAAAGGAAACGAGTTCGAGGTGATATTCTTACTTCACGAGCGCGGAGGTAGTTGGCCAGAAATTGAAGAACCCCGCGTTTCGGCCTGTGTGCTTGCCTGGAAGTAGTGTTAATCGTTCAAGTGATCTTCAAGTTTGCTGAATTAGCAGCGGTATTGTAAAACGCGGTGAGTTGGTTACTTTTAGAGAGCCTCGTAGTTAGAGTCTTGTCTTTTCAGGTTATTATTTTTATTTGACCGCCGAGTTGGCGCAGTTTGTGAGCGTCAAGAGCACGCACTTGTAATTTATTACGTTGAATAAAAAGGGACTTAAACCCTTAAGAAGACTCTGTCTTTTATCCAGTTTTCACAGTCACCTCTTGGTTGCGTGCAAGTTGGAGGCGCGCAACGCTACATACTTATTTTTAGTACGTGAGATTTTTCATAAGGAATATATCCCTAAATTTGATTTATTGGGCTGAATTTGCATGTATTTTTTTTTGTTCTTTTTGGTGTTTCTATTTAGTAAGACCTTTTTTTAAAAACAGGAGCAAAGTGCATCTTCAGCTTAAAATTTAAAGTTTAGTTCTTAAATTTTATTCATTTTCTACTTTTGATGGCAGTTTTAAGTTTTACATACATTTACTTAAAATTGGTACATGTATTGCAGAAAATATTTCATTTTAATGATTTTTAATATCTCATTTATTGTCTCTCTCATATATTTATGGAGCAGATGTGTGTATGTTTTCCCATGAGTGATTTAATTGTAAGAGCTTTCATTTTATTGCAACTCTGATTTTCTCTTCCATATTTTAGGTTGTTTTTGTGTGTATTCAAATCATCAAACACTGGAATACATTAGAGAGAGTCTTGAAAAAACTTTGTTGTCAAACTTGGAGCAGGAAGATAGGTTGCCTTTCCATGGTCTTCCTATTGTAATTTTATTTGCAGCAGATAATAGTATAAATGAAAAAGATCTGATATTTCTGAGAGAAGAAGGCCAAAATAGAGCAAAAAGGTATGTGATATGTTCAGCTGAGAATTAATTTATTGCATTAAAATTTTTTAAATAGTAATAATTAAGAAAAGTATTTTAATGGTATGTTACTCATTTGAGAATTCTTTCATGTACAGCATGCTTGTAAGAACTGGATACTGTAATTGTTACATTTTATATGAGTATAGTTTTTATATTAAACTTTTTTAAAATAATGGTTACATGAGCTGTTCCTTTAAAATGTAGCCTTCTTGTTTTCTATGTGGTTTTATGCGTACTTTTTCTTGGTCAAGATATTCAGAAGTCTGAGCATGCCTTAACTTAATAGTAGACACTTGAAAAATCCCATTTCAGTGCAGTAACAGATTTTTATATTTGCTGATGTTTAGAAGCATCATGCATTGAAGGGCCAAATATTATATATAGTGTTAACAGATGTTTGATTAGATGTTATTAATAACTGTATAGTGTTACTTATAACTGGCAGTCATTTTATTATGACATAAAATTTTAAAAAATAATTCTGGGTGAATCTCAGAGCATTGATAATTGATGTTTATGGTATTGCATGCTCAAACCGTCTTTGTTTGCATGCATAGTTTAACTTTGTTATCAGACAAATGTTAAGCTTTCTGTTTCCTGAAATAAACAATCTTTCTATTAATATATCTAATAATGGACACTGCTGATACTGAAAGGTGAAAATGTTGACCAAAGTGATTTCTTAAATATCAGTCATATTTAGTCAGTTCAGTAGAAAGCAAGAAGGATGGAGCATCATCTTCATTAACTCATTTAAAAAAGAAACTAGAATTCAGGACAATAAATGTAAGCATACTCGGAATCCAGTGTGGTAATATAAGCCTGAGCTCCTAGTTCCAGAAAGTGAATTGCTGACATTTTCAGAGTTGCATTGAAATTATGGCATGATATGAGAATGTACTTTTTCTTTTGTTCAATGGTATATCTGTTAAATAAACTAATTTCAGGCTGGCTTCTAACTTTAAGTTTAGGAGTTTGTACTGCTGTTTTACTGCATGGTAGTCCAATAAAAACTAGGCTTTAAATTAAATCTAGATTTAAAATTTTTAAGAGCATGTTGCTGTCCATCCACTATCCAGTTTCATTGTTGCAGATTCCACTATTAATGCACATAGTTGCATGAATAATTGTGCAGCAGAGAAAACTGCTGGGCATTCGACGTAAGTAACAGTTACATCTAAGATTTGATTGACAACAACTTTTTTGGTTCTTATCCAGAGAGAAGTCTAATAATATGAGTATTCAGTTCACTTGATTAGAAATAGAGTTGGTGATTTCATTTTGACTTAACCCTGTTTAAAATTAAGCTGAGCAGTTTCGCTTAAGTGTTGCACCGGGTAGTTTGTTAATACTTTTCTAACGTATCTAAAACCTATCAAAATTGAAGTGCTAGTTAAATAATGGTATGTTTAAAATATGTGTTTCTTATGGAATGTTATGGAGTGCTTTGTTGCAGAATTTATTAGAAAAAAAATTGCAGCTGGAGAAAAACATATTTCTAACACTGATATTCTATTGAAAATGTTTATTGGTGTCCAAAATTAAAGCCACAAACACATTTTTTGCAGTAATTCAAATTAGCTACCACTAATATTTTTAAAACTGTAGTTTTGGGAATGTTAAATGTAAGAAAAGCATCTAGTAGATCAAACTGGAAAAGACATGCCAGTGTAAAATTTTAAATTATGTGAAAAAGCAACCTTAGTTAGGTATAGATTTTGAGTAAAATTTTATTGATTTTTCAAGACCATAAGATATACGTCCCGTTTCTTCTGGAGCAAAGAGATTTTTTATATATACGGTTAATTTTTCAGTTATTTTAACTTTTAATTATAAAAATTTTCCTTTAAATACTTCTTCAAATTTTCTTTAAGGCATTGAATCAATCATTCATTTTAAATGTAGATGGTGAAATGATCATGAGCTGGTGACATAAAATAGTGGCCACGACCCTGTACCGCTTCATAGTAAATTACAAATATGCTTGAATAAGCTTTAAATCCAAACCTATATTATCTCAAAAACTATTATTTATGCTGTGAAGATCATAACAAAGGGTATCGAAATATATGTGGCAAGAATTTAATTATCAGTTTGATGATGTTTTTGTGTTTGAAAGAAATCACATAGAACACTTATGAGTATGGGCAGTTTTCCATTTGATTATATCAATCATTATTCTGTAAATTGAAGAAAGGCCATTTGAAGTTGGGTTTGCTAATTTAGAAGGACAAGTTTAATTTGAAATTTTAAGATTATTTCATTTTAGTTGTATAATTATGCTGAATGTAAAACTGTGAATATAGTCTGTAGTGCATATAATTAAAAGTGTAATAATAATTCATTAATATTTTTTAAAGTTTGCAGTGCCCTTTCTTAGATGTGAGCTCTCCAGATGATTCATCTGGTCAGCGTTTTGATGTTGCTAGTCTTGTGCAAGCATTGCAGTCTTTAATTGAAAGTATACAAAGGAGAGCTGGGTTACTGCAGATATATCACACATTGCCTGAGCAAGCAATCAATCCTGATATCAGGTAAGTATAGTATTTTGTTTTATTTGTGCTTATATATATGAGTGGTTACATTTACAAACTAAAACATGTATCAACTTAAATAATTTATGAAAGAAATATTTCAGAATCATCATGTGTATGCTTTGCGGTGATCCATATTCTGTTGAACATGTGCTTGGGCCATTACTGAGTCATCAGTGCTGTTTCGTTACAACACCCCATACAATTACTTTAGAAACTTATCTTGGAGATTCAAAGAGGAGTGTAGAAGTTAGAGTCACTTCCTATCATGGTGCCAATTCCTATAGAGATGAGCTTGTGCATGGCTTTATTTTGGTTTTTTCCACAAAGCGAAAAGCCTCTCTGGCTACGCTTAGGTAAGTTTGCTCTTATAAATGTGTAGATATTAGTGAATTAGCCATAAATTCTTTATTGTAGCTGCTCGTACATTTTTATGGGCATTGTATGAATTAACAGCAGCTGTATAAGATAGCATGTATTTGTTTTTGATTATAATTTTCATGTAATGGTCTAATTTAGCCTTGATTGTGCCACCTTTAAACCAAGACTTCTCATGCTGGCATGATACTCTCTAAATAGGGATGGGCCAACAAGTCACTCAATCATAAAAGAAATTTTGTCAATTACAGCTGACAGGAGATAGCTTGAACAAGTAACTGCAACTAAATTATGGCTTCTTTATTGTCACATTTGATGTTAAATATTCGCTTTCTGTGCCAGTCATTGAAAAAATGAAGAGAGTTATTCTACATCATTTGTCTTCCACTTGCTGCCCAAAACCTCGTCTAGTAAGGAGCTACTCGGTGTGCCTTCTTTAAATCATCAATGTAATTATATATAAGTTGGTATTATTGTACTGCTCGTTTCATATGTAGTATTCACCGAACTGGTATATGTCCTGATGTGAGTCAGCCCAGAGGTCTCATCAGACAAATCGGGAAAAATGCTTACCTGATTTTGCAGCTAATCTGTGGGTCCATTTTATGATGCTTTTAATGATAGCAGTAAGTGGGATTTCGTTAAATCTCATCTTTAAATTTAGTGTTCGACTGTTCATTTTAAGAACGCATTCAGAGACAACGTTAAGTAAAATAACGACTCTCCTTAGAAATAAAATGGACAATATGGAACAAAATAGTATTATGCAGAAATTCTGATGTAATTCTGTGGCATATGCAAGTGTTCAAAAGCTGACGAAGCTTGTTAGGACCTGTATGTCTTTTGACTTGCTTTGGAAATATAACATACCTCGAATAAGAACAGAGAGCTTACTAAAGCAATGTTCCAGTAAGTGTAGAATAGACGACACAAGCAGGAAGGGTATACTGAACTCTTTCTTATCTATTACTTTACAGGTGCTCCCATATTTAGACCAACCACTTGTGGTCTGAGCTTAAAAATATAAAAAACTACTAACTAAAACTCTTAACTAAAAGCTAACTTTGAATTAGTATACAAATGCCTAACATTAAGACTGGCCTTTTTAAAAGGGTACGTAGGTAGTACGCAAACTGCTGAAACAATAATACATTTTAAATATCAAGAGGACTAAACCTCTGGCCTTAAAGGCAAGCAGCAACTGATTGAAAACTCGTAAGAATGCAGTGGCAAGGCGGCTCACTTCCTCTCTCTCTTTAACTCTTGGCAAAAAGCTACAACTTAAATACTTGGGATTAGCAAGTACAACTTAAAGCATTTAATTCTGGCTGGAAGTGGAAAATAAGAAAGATAGTAAAAGTTTTATAATAAAAGAAACGTTAGTAAAACTTAAGATCCGTATATACTTCTCACCAGAGTAAATTAGTTTGAAACTGAGGTCTAAACGACCTTGTTGAAAACTTTTAGCTCTAGATTCGAAGTCTGATGCAAGGCCAATCTTTTACAACAACTCCTTACTAAAACTATCTAACCTAGAAATTAAAAAGTTGTTTTACATTATCATCTCCATCCACAATTACTTTTCACCTGTGCTGCATCTAAAAACAGAAGTTTTTCTTAGTTGAATCTGGTTCCTTTCAGAGATCTGGAAGGAAAACTAGTTTAATGACATGTTAAACAATCAAATGGCAAGTAACATGAGCATGTATATTTTTCTTTTAAAACTCTATTCTTATTTCGTTCATACTATTATTTAATTATCTCCTCATGCTCTCTGACGTGTTGCAAAGAGAAACACCAAACACATGCGTGTTTGTGTACAAGTGTTCAACACTACCGCTTACAATCAAAACACTAACGTGTTAAAATTCAACATAACAAGACCTCAGAATACATCTTATATTCATCTCTTCTGAACCCTGAGGTACTATTCTCAAGAAGTGACTAACTCTGAAGTGTTGCGTCAGAGAGCCTGACTACGCTCGTTCAACATTTAGCACGTATTCACAATGCGTAACTTTTTTTTTTTTTTTTTCCAGTCATACCAATAAGTTAAAACTTGGCATTTAGACAACATTTTCATTTTTAACATATCCACAGTACTTCTTAACTTTTAAGATAACAGTTCACACTGTACGTAAGAACACATTAACATGCCATTAATTTTACGCATTTCAAAACATACATTAGTAGTAAAATGTTTTGTTAACTTCTATTTCTGGAAAGCAAAGGATAATTCTTTTACATTTAAATACAGTCAAAAGTCTTTAATCCGGACGTCCATAATCCGGAATGATCTATAATCCGGACCTCAAAGCTACAAACTTTCTGTGCATGCGTTAACACATGCACATAATACCTTTGCATATGCGATGTGGGTTTAATATATAATGGGCAGTATAAGCTAAGCTCTAATTATCTATTTCAGTTAATGTTGCAGACTGCGTTGTTCCTTAATCTTTTTATTTTGTGCAGACTGTTAGAGTAATTTTATAAAAACAAGCTTGAACTTTCGATTATGTCAAAAAGAATTTCCTATTCTGGAGCTACCAAAGGATCTAGAAAGCAAAAGCATGTTTCGATGTCCATCAAACAAAAAGTGGAATTGCTGCAAAAAATGGATAAAGCTGTGTTTTTTTATTCTCTAACCATTCCAAAATATGTTTATCAATTTCACGCTGCTCTGCTGGGGGGGGGACCGACGTGGCTCGCAATGAACTGGAAGTTGACCTGTCAGCACCATCCTTATCTTCAAGGCAGATGTTTTTATTTTATTCGGCTTATAATTCCTTACTAAATGTAGTATTTCATTTCGATGTACTCCATCTTTGATATGATTTAAATCAAATTCCTTGTCATTATAAATATCACGAATACCCATCAAATAGTTTTCTGGTTGCAATTTTTCGCGTGTTGAAAGAAATGTTTAATAAAGTAAACAAACAAAATATTAAGCTTTTTTTTTGTAAATTTTGATACCCTTTAGATCATAATTGCTCTTTATTTCATAAATTACGGTTTCATATTTTTAATTTTATAATTTCTGCATGCCATCTTACCAGATTTAAACTGATCTATAATCTTGAATTACCGAAGTCCGGACGAGTGCGGATTAAAGACTTTTGACTGTACTACATTTTAAAAGTCCTTCAGACTTAAATTTCTTTTCTTGACAGAATCTTTTAAATAGAATTTTATACAATATTTTTACAATGTTCTTAAGGTACCTTTCTTATAAATTACAAAAGCTTTTACAATACTCAAGTACTTGCACATTACTATTATACAATAATTTTAGATTACTCGCGAGTAGTTGAAAAACATAGTAACAAATAGGTAAACTCAATTTCTCACCTCTTTGGCGATAAAGGTAGACCTCACGTGAGGTAAAACTTTCCTTACAATCTGCCACTTCTAGTAAGAACAAAAATTAAGTTTCAAAGTAACATAAGGTTTTACTTATCTTTGTGATATTCAGACATCCGCTTAGCCGCTCAGTCCTGGAAGGTAGGGAAGACCATTGTCCGATTTATCCTACGTCTTGTGTGGGTTTGCCCTTCAGTTTCTTCCTCAATGTGTTTTCTTTTTTTTTTTTTTTTTTTTTTTTTGGCATGTTTGATGGCCCTTGAAAACCTTCTTCTTATCTGCTGATTGTACTCCCGGACGCGATGGGTGCTGTCCTTGATCGTATCGGGACAACTCTCTCCCTTTGTTGCCTGGATCTGGTTGCTGACTGTTCAAATTTTCATTGCTTCCTTGCAATTGCAGCTGGCTTTCCATGGTCGATTCGTGGATATTTGCTGCGGAGAGTTCTGTCGATGAGTTCACTTTCCGTTTTGAGCCGGTGTTATAGTTGCCGGCCATTTCTCCTGGCTCTTCGCATTACGTCGTACTTCTTCTTTCTTCATTCTGGGGGGTCGTGCCCTCTCTTTTCTGGACGGTGGAACGGCTTCTTTTTCTTGTTACCTTCAAGTTTTTCCAACGGGGAAACTTTCTTTTCTTGTTTCCTCTCTACTCGTGCTTGCCCTTGTGGTTGTCGTTGTTCCACCTCTGGAGCTTGTGTCTGCCGTGCCGGATCCTGCAAAAGATCTGAAAAGATTTGCATTTTATTACGATTATAGTAGGGTTTTGATTTGATCAATATTTGCGGAACAGGTTTCACCATTCTTGGCTTTTAACACCACTACAGCGTGAGTTATTTTTTTATAACATATGGTCCTTCAAATCGTGGAAAAAATTTGGCAGTTTTATCTTCTGGTGCTGAAGAAAGTGAATGCTTAATTTTTAAAACTTCATCATCTACTTTATAAGTTACTCCCCGTCGTTTCAGATCATAATATAACTTCTGTTTTCTTTGTGCTACTTCCGTATTCTTTTTTGCTTCTTTTATTAGTTTTTCTATATCACCCATTTTAAATTCTGGGGCTCTTTTGTTGCACATAAAATAATTTATCTAACGGGTGTTATAATCTTTCTGCCTAGAAATAACTCAGCAGGAGTTTTGCCCGTTGTATCATGTTTTGCGGTCCTAAGGGCGAAAGCAAATTCATTGACATAGTTATCCCAGCTTTTATGAAAATTTTTAACATAACTACGGATAATTTTCACTATATTTCTATTGACCCGTTCCGCTATATTTGATTGCGGCCGATACGGGACCATTTTTAAATGACGTATGCCCAGTTTTTGGCACATGTCTTCAAATATATTACTTACAAATTGAGGACCATTATCCGATATAACTTTTAGGGGCGCCCCGTATTTTAAAATATATTTATTTAAAATAGAATCAGTAACTAATTTCGCGGAGGCTCGTTTTAAGGGAACAATTTCGGTCCATTTACTAAAATGATCAACCATAACAAGGAGATAGCGACTTTTATTTAACTGACTTTTTGGGAAAGGGCCCAATAAATCGATGCCAATTATTTCATTTGGAAATTCGGATTTAATACTATTTAGAAACCCGGCCGGGCGGAAATTAATATAATTAACGGCTTGACATGTTGGGCAGGACTGGACATACGCCCTTGTTAACTTTTGCAGTTCAGGAAAGTAGACTGCCTCGCGTACGCGTTGGATAGTTTTTCGAATACCAGCATGAGAAGCTAAAGGGCTGTCATGGAAGCTCCTGCAGGATATTTAATCTAAGACTAGCTGGGATAACAGGTCGAAATTCGTTGTTGGAATTTCGTAGTTTTTGTATAAAATAATAGACCATCTATTAGTTCGTAATGGGCCGCCCTATTTCTTATCGCCACAATATCTTGGTGGCTAAAATTTTCAGGATCCTTCAAATACTCATAAATACTTCCAAACTCAGGATCCTTACCCAGTTCGGTTATTACAGTTTCTCTCGGGAATTGTATTGTACATGCTGTGACCTTCTTCATCTATTTTTAATTCGTGATAGGGCATCTGCTACGATATTTTCCTTTCCGGGGTATGTGCTTGATTACCAGATTATATTCTTGCAGCTTGAGTGCCCATCTTATTAACCTTGGGATAAATTTTTCCCTGAGTACAATCTAGTTACCGCCGCCGCATGATCAGAATATACTGTTATGGCGCCTTTCCAAAATAGACTCGGAACTTTTGCACTGCTAACAGAACTGCAAGTGCCTCTCTCTCGGTCGCGGAATAGTTCTTTGTGTTTGATTTAAAGTTCGGCTAAAAAATGCCACGGGCTGCTGATTTTGCGAAAGTACCGCTCCTACCGCATAATCCGAAGCATCCGCTGAAATTTCTAAATTTCATCATTCTCAGGAAAATTTCAAAAGGTTTTAAAATTTCAACACAGGGGCTTGCGTTAATGCTTGTTTTAACTTTTTTTAAGGGGTTTTTTCTTGTTTTAATTTTCGAAAGCACTATTGGCTTCAGCCGTCCACGAGAATCTTGCCTTTTTCCTTTTTAATTTTAACAATGGCTCAGCGATAGCCGCAAAATCTTTTATAAAGGACCTATAATATGAACAAAGTCCTAGAAAAGAAGAGAGCTTCTTTGCCGTGTTTGGTCGGATACTTTTGTACAGCGATTATTTTTGATTCATCTGTCTCGATCCCTTTTTGCGATATTTTGTAACCTAAATATTTTAATTCAGGGGCTGCAAATTTGCACTTTTCGACATTAACTTTTAGACCGGCCTCATTTAATAAAAAACACCTGTCTTAAATCCTGTATATGTTGGTCGAGATTATCACTAGTAATAATGATATCGTCTAAATAGATAAATGTGGACTTTCCAAGAACAGGTCTTAACACAATGTCCATGCATCGCTGAAATGTTGCTGGGGCCCCTGAAAGGCCAAACGGCATACGCAAAAATGCATAAGTGCCAGACTTGGTTATAAAAGCAGTCTTAGGCACATCTTGTTTCACTATTAATTTTTCCTATTAACTTCCTTACGTACAACTCGCGTGAGCTTTTTCGAGACAATATATACTATGTTTGCGCGTTGATTCGTAAGAATAATGTTTCATATTATTTTCTTAGGAGTTATTCCGTAAATTTTGTCTTAATTTCACTTAATTCACTTAATTTCTTTACCCTCTTCTATAGGAAATGTATTATATATTTCAAGACCACAAATTCCTATTACATGAAGAAAAGTACTAACTCTTACCTTCTTTTCTTTATTATGTAATCCACTATCTACTTCATGTATTTCGAATGATTGCAACCATCTTTGCCTATTTGAAGCAAGATTTCTATCAAATTTCATTGGCTCTGGTGGTTTTAAACTTTCCATTTTGAAAGCAAAATACTCCTGACACCATATAGAATAATGAGGGTGCACTTTTAGTTTTTATAAACTATTTATTTATAATCATAGAATGTATATTACAGAGGCCTGCAATGCTAGCATTAATCTACTTTCATATCTGTATCCAAATTCCTGCCAAATACAAGTTACTAAATGTTAAATGTTGCCATTTACAAATTATTAAATATTACAATTGTGAAATTCTTTATTTCTTACAATAGTTTGACATTTGTTGATACTTCGATTCTGATAAGAGTTTGTAGCCTTAGAGAAAAGTTATAAGAATTATCTTCATGGATTGTATGTATCTTCATTGATCAGATGGCTCTTCTGTCCATCTGATTCTTATTAATTTTCAATTGTGGGAAAAAAGCTCTTCACATGAGCTTCTAAACAAAGCAGTTATTCTTAGTGAAAAAAATCGTAACTGAGCTTGCTTATTTTTTGAAAAGTACAAATAAAAATTAATGAAATCAATGTCTTCAAGTCTTTGAATAAGATTTAACTCTGTTTATACATGTTTTGCACATTATTCATGTTTGTTTTTAATAGAAGTGAAAAATAAACTCGGACTTCAAATAACTGAAATCTTATATCTTTGCAATACCATATTTGCAGCAAATATGTAATTGAAATGGGTTCACAAAAGGCTGCATAAATTTACTTGTTGGACTGCATGTGGCCCATGAGCTGCTAGTTTGCAATTACTGATGTAAGTATTATTGGGTTCAGTTAATTTTTTGCACACTTGGTTTCTGTGTCTGTTCATCTAAACAGATTGTCATTAAAAATAGTAAATGACTCCAAGTTGCATAGTGTATGAAGAATGTAAACAGCAGGTCAAACTTTGTAGTTTTCGTTAGGTGAATATTATTTTTGTTACTGTCCAGTTCTACTTTATTCTCTCTTACCCCTTTTGAGAAGCGATAATTTTATGATTTCTTTTGCATGAGCAACTAAAATGCTTTTTTGCGATATTAGTATTGCTCCTATTTTAGTTGTATTTAGTGAATAATTTACTTTTTCAGTGCTTTCTCCATGAATATTCCGAACATTCCTGTACAGATTTTGGCTGTTACAGAAACTGGGAGTGCAAATGCATTTTTTTCCAGTGATTTATCTCATCAACTAATTACCGAAGGCAATGCTGTTGCTGATAAGTTACAAGCTCATTTTATGACCTCTAGCTCAACTAGCCAACAAAAAAGTAAAGTTCTTTTAATTTTTTATTTAACAAAAAGAAAGTTAAATATGTACAGGATGAAGTATTTCATATAATCTTTTTTAAACTATGAATCAGTGTTATGAGGTATTGTAATCAAAATTTTATAATGAGAAATTTTTTTTTCCACTTTTTTTTTTTTAAATTTTCCATAAAAGAGATCACGTGGCAAACTGAATGTTAAAAAATAATTTAATAAGAAATAATTTATTAACAATATAGTCTTCAATATTTTATTTGCAGTTATGATTTATGAAATTTAGTGCACTTCCTCTTTTTTTTTTACTTATCTAATAAAATTTTTCACATTGTGTTATTCTTTCCTTTTCTTTTAGCTGCATTCTATACTCCTTTTTTTAAAGAAGTTTGGGAAAGAAAACCTCAGATTGAAAAGGCATTCACCCTGGAAGATTCAGATTATTCTATTGGTAGTCGTACACCAGTACCACCTCCTGTGCCTTCAAGACAGGAGTCGTATCATATACGCAGTGGATCATTAGAAGATGGGTTAGCTGTATTTCTGACATATTTTGTTATTACGTTTATGTCATTTTAATTAGTACTAAATTTAACTAAATTTTTTATAATTATTTCAAAGTTAGAATTTTTCTTACAAATTTGTTATTTCAGTGGAGACTCTGAAGGCCTTTATGAACAGCTTCCTGTAGAAAGTGGCCATGGACCAGATGATGGTTCAATTTCACCTACAGGGTTTATTGATGGGCCGCCTTTGAGTCCTAGTGATGATAGTGATTTGTATGCTAGTGTATTCAATCAAGAAAATGGTGAACATTTAGTCAAACCAAGTCAGATTAAAAATAGAAGAAGCCTTCAAGCAGGTATGTTAACATTCAAAAATATCAGATCAATATTTGTGGATTCTGTTTACATTATGCTTGGAAGTAAATAAGAATAGATTATCCACGTGTCACTAATTTCTCATAAAGTATGTCGTTCATTTTCCATCAGAAAAGCTGTTTCTGTATTTTTAGGAGCTTAGTTATGTTTTCAGCAGCAGCAAAAGACATTTTTTTCTTCATTACAGCAGTAACAAAAAATCTTATAGTTATGTTGTATGACTTAAAGATGAATGCAGGCTTCTTTTGATGCAGTCAACAGATATGCATAAGAGACTTTTTTAGGTGGCTTTTGATAATACTAGCAATAATTTCTAACCCATTACTTTCGTCTTTTCCAGCATATGAACTTTTTTTCTTTTTAAAGTGGGGGAACAAACATTAATTTTTGCAGATGTGTCCAGTCTTTTTATAAATCGAAAAGGGTTTTATTTTTAGATGTGTATGAATAGAAATTTTACTCATCTAACAAGGAAGGTCTCCCGAACTTGAATCTTTTTTTTTTTTTTCTGGAGAGGGCAATATGAATCTGCTGAACTAGAAATTCATAATGGGGCTAAAGTTAATAGCTAATCTTCAAAATGCAGTTTTGAATATCCCGTATATCAACTGATTGAATCATGTAAAAGAAATATAATAAATGAAAACATAAAGAGTGTGCATATTTTGACTGTCAGTGCAGAATAACAAACTGAATAGATGGCCAACCCTGAAGGAAATTTAATTCATGAAAAATTAAGCAAGAAGATTGTAAGAAATTCAGGAAGTCATGTTCTTACTATAAAAAGCTGTCTCATATTGTAATCGGTTTGGCATGTTAAGAATTAGCACAAACTTTATGTTATAATAAATGTGCTGACTTCTGATTGAATATAATATATAGCAGAGTATCATATATAGAATTTATAGCAGGTCATTACAAAAATTATAAAAGCACTTATCTGTTTTATATCAGTTGCAGTTAAGGAACTGTATTGAAATACAAACTTAAAAAAATGCAGCCTCACCAGAGGTCTAATGATAACAACACAATAAAATAAATAGTACTACTTTGACATGGATTTAACCAAACAAATTGTCTACCAGCATGAAAGTTTTCGTTTCATAAAGAATTATGTATAACATGAATATGAGACAGTTTTCCTTTAAAAGTCGTACATTTCTTTTCTTAATTTATTATTTTTTCCCAAACACTGGGCTCTAAGTAATTTTTTTTTATTTAATGACCAAATTCTGTTAATTTCAAATGCCTGGCTGCATGAACTTGAAACAATAGCCAGATCACATTGTATGTATTTGTGCCACCAAATCAAGATATGGTTTAGAATAAAAAGTCTTATCCATTGTCTCCTTAATTTTAAAATGCTAGGAGTCAACTTGACTGCAGGTTAAAATAAAGACACGTTTCCAGCTTTCAAAATTGGAAATATTTACAAAAATAAAGTGAAAGTAGTCTGCATTTTAAGTTAATGTATATTAAAGTAAGATAAATAAAGCGTACGGAATTTGATTATAATTATTTAATTAACTTTGAAGAATATGACTGCAATATTTCACAAAGCAAAACTTTGACTTTTTTCTTTGACCTTTCCTTGACCTCGTGTTATCAGAAGGAAAGAAGTCATTAAACGTGGAGAATCATGAGAGAGAGTTCATCTTTGCTGACTAAAAATTTTGTTTCATCTGTAAGAACTTAGAGCCGTAAGTGTTTTTTGTATATTTATTAGCACACAGTTTTAAAAAACTAATTGCTAAATTGATATATTTGTATATAGAGAGCAAATAGGCATACCTATATTTGTTGATGCAAAACTGTTTTGGAGATTTTACTCCACATTCAATCAGATGATTTCCATCAATGATCAAAAACTCCATATGTAATTTTTTTTAATTATTTATTATCTGTAGAATATTAGCTGCTGATATTTTGTAGTTAATGTATTTGTTGATGCACATTTGAGAAAACTGAGAAATTAAGTTTGGAAAACTTTCCTTGTACGCTTTCAGTTAAGTTGCACTTAGTTGAAAGTTCACGCATATAAAAATTGTAAAACGAGTAAAAATAAGTTTTTCTGTTTAAAATATGATTTGAGTTGTGATATTTCATTGAGAACCAATATTTTTACTTTCATCAATATAATTGTGTTACTTTAGAATGCTGTTTTTAATTACAGAAATTTTTTGGGAGGAGAATTTAAAAATTGCCATTCAACTGAATGTTGTTTTGAATGTGCATAGTATAAAAAGTGGCAGAAATCTTTAGTTTAATGTAATATTTTTAATTTGGGTCTTTAAAAATTATTTGGTTTGATTGACTGATTGTTAAAATTTGTATAGTGTAGTCATTGTCAGAAATCTTAAGATTAATGATTGTGGTTTTTCATTAAAATAAAATTTATAAGTAGTTTATTTCTTCAGACTGCTATTTAAAGTGTTATGCAAAGTTGATATTATTGAGGAATAAATGTGAGAACTTTTTCTGATTGAAGGGAGTGAGTGAAACCATTTCCTCATTTTCTTTTGGAGCAGGGGGGGAGGTGTATGTGTGACCTTAAGAGATCATATTAGTTATGTTCTTAGTTTTGTATTACAGATCTTTTAAGGAAACAAATTACAAACCATTAACCAAAATGCATGTCTAGCAAGAATAATAATTTATCAGCTCTATAGTTTTGTTTTTTCATTTCATGAATAAAAAGCTTTCTTTTTAAGTGTTATGCAATTTTGTTTTCCTTTTCCTTCCATAATTACATGTGCCGGTATGTTTGTAAGTCCATCGTTTTCTGTTCTACTTAATTTTTCTTGCAGAATTATATCGGCAATCATTCCCGAGTACAGAGTCTTTGGATCGTTCTGTGTCTATGAAAACTCGTGACAACAATGCTCCACCTCCGCCGTTGCCCCCCTCTCGTCATGACAGAGACCCACATTCTGGCATAGATCTCGCTTATCCTGCTCCTACTCTTGGCACGTTTACTGGCAATGCATCACCACCTCCCACTTATCATAGTCAGGTGCACTATTCTCCACGCCTTCCACCGCACCCATCATTACCCTTACCCGCATCATTATATGCAACTGGTCGGCGCAGACCAACTGCTCCTGAGCGTGCTTTGCCTTTCCCTCCATATGAACTTAAAAAATCCAACAGTCTGAAATCCTGTGGTATGGGAATGCCATCTACACCATCAGCTCCAAGTCTTAGCCATCCGAGCTCTGGGCAAGGTTCAAGAATTCCAGATGACTTAGATGCCTCAGACAGCATAACTGATGATGATGACACGATTTCATCTGGGCTTAGTGGTGATTACTAGCATTTGTATTTCTTTGTTGGGTTTCATTCATGTATAATTTGCTGAGTTTGCCATGATATGCATGTTTTGAAACTAGATTGGTTCAGCCAGTTTTCATTTAATTAAGGCTGCATGGTTCTTAAGTTTGAGTTCTGTAGATCCTTTTTATTATTTTTATGCTTTCACTTTATCCAATTACTCAGTTAGCTTTAATTTTTTAATATCTGAAACTTTTAATGCACTTCCTTTTTTTCTTTTTACATTCCAGCATATATTTTATTTAGTTGCACTTTTTTTATGTACCTGTTCTATACATGAACTCCTATCTTTGCATTGTTATGACTTTTTTGCATCATTGTATTCAATCTGTCACTAAAGATACTAAATCTACTTTTTTGATAGTGTAGCTCTTGAAAATGTTTGTGATTTTATCCTATGATTAAATTTTAATATGCTAAGCAAAAACTTGTGCGAAATCCAAAATTTTGCATTCTAGTCTGTAGTTTAAGGGTTGTGGTGGTGCTTTATTTTTTTAATGAATTAGTATTAATGATACTAAATATTCATTTCCTCTCAAGTATACTGTTGATTTTTTTTGAGAAAAATGAATATTGTAAAAATAATGACATTATAGTGATATTATTAAAATGTATTAAATGTATTATCGAACATGTATTTTATTTTCCTTTTATCTGCTTTTTATTCAATTTATTCCTAAATGTTTAGACAAGTTCCTCTGCTGTCCGAAATAATTTCATCTCATCAGTTCTATCATAGGTATCTTGAAGTAGATCATTCAGAAATTAAGATATCTTTGAGAATTTGTTTTATTTGTGAAATTTAGTTTTAGTAGTAAATAATAGTTTTTGACTCTTTAATGAAATTTCTGCGAATTTTTATGGTGATCTTAGCTCTTAAAACATATAAACTACTTGATATGAGGAACCGTTATGCATTCTTAAATTTGGAGCAATTTATGTTACAATTATGAGTAGTAGTTACCAAGGAAAAAATTATTGCTCTTCCTCCAACTTGTATTGTGCTACTATATAGGGTATGGGGCCTATCCGCCGCCGCCTGAACCTGCACCTCCAGACTTACCCCCTTCGCGAATGAAGAAGGGATCTTTAACTGCTGGTCACCACACTTCTCGTACAAGCTTGGATGAGGGTACTCGACCCACTCTTATATTCCTTTTTTTCCTCTCAACTTTCCATTAACAATTATTTTCTTTAAATTGTTATATATGTTGGCCAGTTTGAAAATGTGCATGATCATAATTGCTTAAATATGTTTAATAGGACTATGTGATTAGCATCTGTGGCTGAGTTTTATATGTAACTTATCTTGATAGCTTTGTAGAAACTTTTGCACCTCTTCCTTTGTGATTAATTTTATTTTTGCATGCTAATTATTGCCTTAGGAATTCTAAATTAGTTGTATTTTGTTCTCCCTAAAGGTAGCTGCTAATATGCTTGATTTTAATTTAGTTGTATATGTAAATTTTTGTAGGTGTGTCTTCTATGGCTATGGAACTAACCTGTTTCTCATATCTCTAAAAATATCAGTAAGGCATAAAACTTTTCGTAGATTTCAAAAACAGGAGTGTACAAATTGTCTACGTAATGCTGATTAAAACTTCCTTTTTGCTTGTTAAGAATGAGATTATTGAACCTAATTCTGTTTTCATGGAGTTTAAGATGCATCTGTATATATGACATTTGAATCTTAAAAATTTGAAGGATTAGTATTTTGAGTTTTTTCTAAAAAAGCTTAAATATATCTAGTTATTTTACTTTTTATTCCTATTAAAGGTATATTGGTCAGGTAACCTTTCACTATAATCATTCCGGATATAATCGTGTACTATTTATTATTCATTTGCTTATAATTTGTTTCACATTAACTTGTGTTTTCATTTTTTAACCTGCAGAATGAGTATTTTTTGTAATGTTTTTTATTATGAGGTATATAATACTGCATGATACTTGGAGCATATTATTTTGTTTTGAGAATAGTGTACTTGCATCATTATCTTTCTCTCTTCCTTCTTATTAAGAATAATCTTACTGTCAATAATAATGCTAGTTATGTGTTATGATGATTGAATTGTGTGCCTTCTTCTGGTTTTACCTTAGTGTCATCTATTTACCTCTTGGCTGGAAATACAGGTTACTCTGTGGAAAGTGAGTAAGGTGCAGACTTGCATGCAAAATTACAGATCTTCTGTTAACTATATTTTTCTCTAAATATGCATAGCATGTTTGAAATGATTTTTGCATGATTAAAATGCTAGAATTTAATTTATCGTTTTTCATTTCCCTTTCAAAATTCCTGTCTTGGGTGGCAGTATTTTGACAGTTTGAGTGAAACAACATCAAAAGCTAATTGAATTCTAAGTAGTAGTTAAAGGATCTCAATCTGTCCTTTTAATTATTAGAACTTGCTTCTTTATTTAAACATAAAAAGGAAAACTGTGTTTGCATTAGTTAACTTGGGTCAGAAAATTATAGCTATAGAGTTTGAATAACTGCAAAATTATTGAATGATGTCGCGTTTCGAATGAGGTGGATCATCAAATTGTGTTATGAATTTAGTATTTGACTGCTGGTGTAGTTATATTTTCTGCCATAGGAATCATCGAGATGCTTTGGTGGGGGGGGGTTAACATTTTTAATGCATTAACAGATGTCTTCAAGATTTACTCTCCATAAATAGATTTAATAACTTATTTTGTAGTATCTTATCCACCTCTTTTTTTATGTTTTTGTAGTAGCTTTTCCATCTAATTCTTTCATTTCAAAATAAGGGAACATTTTTAATGTGGATTTTTCTGTTTGATCAGGACTTTTTTAAGGGGGTAGTCAGGTTTGTCTGATCTTTTGAATGCAATTGAATTAAAATATGGAAGCATCTACAGTACTCAGCTTCACCAGTTCTTTTAAGTGCTGTTGTAGCAAAGCTGCACTATTTTTCCATATCTGAATCAGATATATCAAAACAGTGTTCATTCTTTTTTAACCAGTCCACAGTTATCCATCATAAAGCAAACTTTGTCTCTTTATTATAAGGATTTTGACAGAAGAGCATCAAATAAATATATATGCCATTTACATGCTGTCCTATCCTCCCACCCGTGAAGTATGGTGGGATCTGTGTACTGTATGCAACGTAAGATTCAAGTAGAATATCTCTGGCATAAACATGATTACAGTACAGTGTAATATTACTTAGAATTTGTAAACTGAATTGTAATTTAAATTTTTATTTCTTTTTACTTTCTTAAGTGCATGTTTCTTGTAAACCTGAATTTGAAAATTATAAGTAACAAACATATAATCAGTGTAAATAGGTGCTATCTTGTGAATTTTTTTTAATGTTTCATAGATTTAGTTTTCTAAGTTAAAACTGATTGTATTTCCTTTTAAAAATACAAGTAAATCTTTAGTTTTGTAAGAAAATTTTATAAAAATTTAAGTGCAGAAAAATAAAGAATGTTTCATGTAGCTCCAGCATCAAATCTGAGTATGTTTCTCAGTTGTACTCTATGTATGTGAAAACGTCTAAATATTGGTTTAAAACCTTTGATAGTGGCGCTGGGAGTGTAGATAAATTTGAAGTTCTAATTGAGATTTTTCGATCAAAATTGGGAAAAAAATTTTTAATCTCGTAAATCAACTGGTACAGGTCAATACTATTTTATCTACGCTTTTAATTTATATTAAACATAAGTATTATTCTTGACTAATAGTAATATTGTAGTGTGTACATGTTGTTTTACACAAAGTACCTAAATCATATAAATTACCATTTTGTTTCATTACTTAGGTATAAAGCATAAATATTAAGAGAAGTTTTAAAGGTCTGTTTTTTATGCAGTCTTTTCCCTTTTCTCCTAGAGCAGCTTTATTGTATATGAATTATTTTCCAATTGCAGTAATGCAGTATAGGTAAAATGTCTCAATTAAGATATTATCTGCATGTCTACAATTATTTGGCATAGCTATGCTAAAAACATTTAAACTGCTGCATGGTAACAAAAAATTCATTTGGTTTATATGATTTCACCGGCATTCTAAAATTGCTATTTTTTAAAAGCCTTGCATGTCTATTGTTTCTCTGCCATCTTTTTTTTTCCTTTGGCATGGAGGTTATTTTTTTTTTTTTTTCCCTTAACATTAGGAAGAACAGTATGTGAAATAAAAGTGAATCTTTTTGTCTTATATTCTAATGTTTTCCTTAACCATAGTAATGTGATTTAAAATTTAACAGAACATTTAAATTTTTTTAATGTTTTCATTATATATGCAATAAACACTTTTTATTGCATATGCATTTTCTGATTTGTGCTTTTACGGACCTGTCTCTACATATGCAATCTTCTGCCTGTTTCTTTTGTTTATAATTAAAAGATAGATTCAAAATACGTATAAAGATATTTAAAGTATTGGAATTGAATTGTTATTTTTATAAGTATTATTGTAGTGATATATACACTACATTCATTTTTGCGTTTCCTCAGGCAAAGTGATAATAATCAATTTTTTATTTAATTATCATAGAAAACTTAATATTCTCTTAAATTTTAAAGCTATCTTAAATTCATCTTAAACTGGTCTCCATGAATGAAGTTTCAGTAATAAAATTGTTTTTATACTTTTTGTCTTGTTCTTCCCTGATTTATGATTGCTACAAAAATTATTTTGTCAGTCACAGTTTAAAGTGTTCTTTTGATTGTGCAGAACTCTGTCGTATTGTTTTGAATTGTAAATTTTTAAAGTAAAAATGTGGAAAATGAACCACTAAATGTAATGGTACTTTACATGCAGCAGAGGAAGGGGGATCTCAGGAATCACTTAATCGAGAAACAGGTATTTGAACTTTTCTGGAAATGTGTATTTTGTTTTTAAAATATTGATAATTTTACAAGCAAGTCTTGCTTTTAAAGTAACTAATGTTTATTATGTTTATCAATCTATTGAAAATCGAGAATAAAAACACCAGTGCATATGTGTATAGAATTATTGAATATTGATAAAGATTTCATTTCTGTTAGAGCAGTCTGGCTGTATAAGTGTTTTAGTGGCTTTGTTTTCTTAAACATGAATGTGAATTAGAATATACAGGGGTCTGCACCCTCCATTGTTTATTGTACAGATGTGTACAAAAAATTTGTTTATATTTTAGTCCAAATGATAGATATAAATTGATAACATATGAGCCTGATAGGTCTCTTTTTTGAGGAGAGGATGGTGCATTCACGCAACATTGTACTTTGTTGTGTAAATGGTTTGTTCCTAAACTTGAAAGACTGTATTTTCTAGCTGATTCTCAGTTCCGTCAGGATTAAATATGCCATCCATTGTGCCATCAGTTAAAACAATTTGCAAATGGTATATTCCTTTATAGGTAAGTGGCTATGCAGATCTGCCACTACCAATGTGTTTCACTGAATCCTACATGTTTAAAGATAAGCTCTTAGCTGTTGTTTTGGTCATCTGAACAGACATGTGAACATACAATGTACATCTGTGCATAGGGCATAAGTCGTCATAAAGTTTAGGAAGATTGCTTACATTTAGAAACTATATTGCTTTGAATATTTCTTTTTGTTAAGTAATATAAAACTTTTGTATTTTTTATTTTATTAAAAAAGAGAAGATGTAATACAGTCAAAAGTCTTTAATCCGGACTCGTCGGGACTTCGGCGATTCCGGATTATAGATCATCAGTTTAAATCTGGTAAGATGGCATGCAGAAAGTATAAAATTAAAAGTATGAAACCGTAATTTATAAAATAATGAGCAATTATGATCTAAAGGGTATCAAAATTTACCAAAAAAGAAGCCTAATATTTATTTGTTTACTTTATTAAACATTTCTTTCAACGCGCGGATGCGTAAAGCATAGCTTACGCATAGCCGAAATTAGAAAATTGCAACCAGAAAACTATTTGATTTGTATTCGTGGTATTTATAATGACGAGGAATTTGATTTAAATCATATCAAAGATGGAGTACATTGAAATTAAATACTGCATATAAGCCGAATAAAATAAAAACATCTGCTCTGAAGATAACGATAGTGTTGACAAATCAACTTCCAGTTCATTGCGCGCCGCAACGTCTTCCCCCCCCCCCCCGCCAGAGCAGCGTGAAATTGATAAACAGATTTCGGAACGGTTAGATAAACAAAGAATATTCCTTTATCCATTTTTTGTAGCAATTCGTTTTTTGTTTGATGGACATCGAAACATACTTTCGTTTTCTAGATCCTTTGGGAGCTCCAGCATCGGAAATTCTATTTGACATAATCAAAAGTTCAAGCTTACTTTTAAAAAATTGCTCTTACAGTCTGCAAAAAATAATAAGCCGGATCCAATTCGAAGATTAAGGAAGAACGCAATCATCAACATTAACTGAAATAGATAATTAGATAATTTTAGCTTATAGCGTCCGTTATACATTAAACGCGCACGCGAAAACGTATTCTGCACTTGCGCAGACGCATATGCGCAGTCGTAAATGTCTTGGGCGCACGAGTAAAACGCCTATGCGCATGCGTCAATGTGGCGCATGCGCAGAAAGATTTTAGCTTTGAGGTCCGGATTATGGGTGTCCGAATTAACGACTTTTGACTGTATAATTAATCTTTTGAGTTTCATACTAAACAAGCAGTATATGCAGTGTATAACTGCTGAGCTTTGTTATGTAATGTAGTTAAGACAAATGTGTGCTAATCTGTATGCCTGCTATTTGTCAATGGTAAGACTGCTGAATTTTAGTTCAACCCAAGTTTAAATCCTGCTGAATGGGCTGGCTGTATGGCAGTTTCATGGTTTTTCCTCATTTGTTATATAAATACAGGACAGCTTCTATTAGAAAGTCCCATGTGAATCCATTCTTTCCCTAAAGTAGATACACTTTATATGCTGATGGAAAATGAAATCCCATCATCAAGAATGAGTTGTGCTAAAGTGAAATTTGGAAGTGTGTTTTATCAGAAAGATGACATTATTAAAATTTCATGGTAGATGAATAAGTGTGGTGCCAGTAACTCACTATGAATATGCAAATCATGTTTGCTTTAAATAATGTGGTATAAATGAGATTTGAATCAAGAATGCCTGTTAGGAAATGAAGGCAGCATTAGCAGTTAACTGAGTTTGAATGAGAACAAGTAATGGACTACAGATTTTCTGTTCATGGCATTGGCAGAAAGATTTGGTAAGTATGTATTGACTGCATCTGTGTTCACAGCAGTAGTCACAGGAAGGTACTGACTGAAGAAAGCTGCAACCACTCATAGGAAGGCCACTATATTTTCCTTTTGTATGTGACACATCGCACTGCATCTGCAGCAGACATTCGAGCTTTTGTTGACATCAGGGGGACACAGCAAGCTGTAATTAATTGATTGTTTGAGGAACAGCCCCAAGTCAGATGCCAAATAGTTGCCCATGCCACCAACTCCAAATTACTGGCATTTGTGAATTTGCTGCTCAAGATAGAGCTCATTGGAAGACAGTGAAGATCTGTTTGTGTTCTCAGATGAGACCCATTTCTTTCTTAGTGCAGCAGTGACCATATGTTGATAGGAAAGAGGTCAGGTGAGTGCTTGGAACCAAGCTGTCTGCAGTGTAGGCACATTGTGCCTACACCAACAGTTATGGTCTGGGAGCAATTTCCTGAGACAAACAGGAGCGCTCTTGTAGTTAATCTCATACCTTGACAGCAAATTTATCTGTCACAAGAATAATTGCACTTAAATGCTCTCATTCTTAAGCAGTATTCCTGGGGGCATTTGCCAACAAGATAACTCTCATCCTGTACCTCTTCTGTTACTCAGTGTGCTGTACAATATGTGAAATAAAAGTGAATCTTTTATTGTGTGTTAAAAGTGAATCTTTTGTGTTTCATTGTATATTTTATCTTTTTTATCTATTTATATGTGTGTAAAATATAGTAGTGATTAGATAAGAATGGCTGGACAGGAGTTAAGCTACTGGTGCCTTTACCTTAAAAATCTTCAGTAATAAGTTTCATTTCATCTGTTATAAGAATATCAAATTGAAATGTTTCTACCTAAACATTCTATAGCACTTAGATAAAATATGCAAAACTATTGATGCCTTTTGTGAAAATTTCTGTGTGTTTAATTTTTGCTGTAAAGAAAGTGTTTTTTATATATTAAGAAATGCAGAAATGTGAATTTTTGTAACATGATTTTTTTTATTCTTAAAAAATCAAATTATGTGTTAAATTTGATTTCTCTTTTTTTTATTAGGTTGGGTAGAAAATAGATTTTATGGACGAGAAATCAGAAGTCGTGATGATTGGCCAGAGAATGAAATGTATCATACATACCATGCAGATAGACAAAAGGTGCCTCCTCCTACTAAACCCAAGCCTGGGAAACCCAAAGTAATTTATGCTTTTAATATTGCCACCCTAAGGCCGAAAGTTGTAGTAATTTTATTATGGAGGCATGTGATAGTTGGCCACCTTTACCTCCTTGACCATTCTTTACTGTTACAACCATGCCTTCTCTGGGATTCAAGCCCGGGCCCTTTGGTATCGTAGCTGGATCCCCGAACCACTATACAATGTAGGCCACCTATACAGGAACATGAGAAATGCATCCCTTATTGTGATAAAAGTTCAGTTAATGTTATTCAAATATTAGAGAATCAATATTTTAAACTGAAGTAAAATTGCCAAATAACAGATAAATTCACTAACACAAGGACAAAATTGCAAAGTGATAGCTATGTCACCAAACAGCTTGTTTTTTAATTCAGTTAACCATTTATTATAATGAGGCAAAAAATGACCATAGTTTGCCATAAATTTTGAGAGCAGTCAGCTTCGGGTCTTTCTTCTTCATATGCAAAGAAGAATTCTGCAGAATTTTGTTTCACTTCAAACAAAAAAATTCTCTCAAAACATCTACAATGGACTAATGTTGCTCTTTTGCTTAATTTAAAATTTTACATTGGCATATTCTCTTCCAATAAAGGACAAGATTAAAGATACAGCATTAGCCAAATCATTTCCAGAAACATTACATAGTCTCAAAAAATGCATTTTCTTGTTATATTAAATTCATTCCATTGCTATTTTGAAAGTTTTTTTTTTTTTTTGTCGTTTAATCTTATCAAAATAGCTGCAGGGCCCACCAGCGGCCGAGCCGTAAAGTTGCTGAACACTGGTAGTTCGGTCAGAGGCTCAAATCCCGCGAACGGGCTGGCTGCGTGGGCATTTTCGTGGTTTTCCCTATGTGTAACATGTATACGAACCAATTTCACTTAGAAAGTCCTCCACGAAGGTATCCATCCCCTTAGGCAGATATCCCTAGTGTGCTTTGCGGTAATCTCAATAAACCAAACTAAACCAAAATAGCTGCAGACAAACATTATCCCATTAAATGGTCCCTACCGTAAATCTAGCAAATTTATTTCCAATAGAGATTTTAATATAAAGTGTGCTGAGCACTTAATTTAGAAAGGTAGGTAGTCTGAGTATTTTAGTTGTAAATCCCATTGTAAACTTAGCCATATTGCAAAATTCCCAATTTCAGTAATATGAAGAAGGTCATTTTTACTCTCTTATTTAAGTTGAGCTAATTTTAAGTAACTAAAAAGTAGTAATTTTTTAATTTTTTGTCCTTAAATACAAGATTAGCTGTATATAGTGATTTATTTTATGAACCTGTAACTTTTTTAATATATGCTGACTCTTTTTTTTTTTTTTTTTTTTTTTTTTTTTTGTTTGTTTGTTTCTTCCTGTTAAATAAATGACTTTTCCTTAACTGTCTGATTTGAATCCAGCTTGTTGATTTGTTTTGTCTATTGTTATTCCTGTTATCAAAATTAGTTTCAGTAAAAGGAAACATTTCCATATTACTCATCCTTCAAAACTTTGTCCTAAATCAACCAATGAATATCAATTTCTCATGTGTTGAGATGTAAGAATAAAGTAGCCTTATTAAAATTGATGCTGCCATAAAACTGTCCTAGAATTTTTGAAATATTTTAGTTTAAAATTCTGTTATGAAGAACATTGCAAAGTCATGACAGAACAAGTCTGCAGTTATTATAAAAATGCTTGCATAGACATAAACAAAGAGGGATAAACAAAACAAATGAAATTGCTGGAAGAACTTATATTGAAAAAATATTTTAATGAAACAAGACAAATGTTAACATTGAGGATTTTGGGAGGCATGTAAATTTGGTTCTCTGAAGATAAATGTTCCATTACTTCACAGGCAATCTCTCTTTTGTGTGTGTGATTTTTTTTACCTACAGTCATACCAGATTTAAGCTGTTCCAAAATCTAAACATCCAAAGTTCCACACATTTCAAGATCCTGGACTTAGTACTATATTTATTATTTTCTCACTTTAAACTCTTTTTCTCCTCAAACCAGCAGAAAGCACAGATCGTGGTTGTTAATAAACTTGTAGCCAGTTTTTATAAAGTACAAGCTCGCTATATATATATATATATATATATATATCACTTTCTCAATTTAAACTTTCCCCTTCCTCCAACCAGCAAAAAGCACAGATTGTTGCCACTTGTAGCCAGTTTGTATGAATTATGAGCTATGAAGAATTAAACTACGAAGTCATACATTAGTCTTTTTCTTAAGATTCTTTGTGGCTCTTAATTTTATCTTTGAATCTTTCCATTACAAGTTTTCTTGACTCTTTCAATTTTGCTTTTTAAAGAGGTTATATTTATATTTTTAATAAAGTTTATTCTCCAGTTATTATACTCAATTTTTCATATAGCTGTGTGTTATTTCAGCCGAAGAAAATAGATCTCAAGCAATATGGTCATTTGACTGATGCTATAGGAAGAATAAATTTAACCTCTCATAAACCTGGAGCTACTTTGCCAAAAGTTGGTTTGGTGCATGCTCCGTTGGCAACTCCTGAGAGTATGGATCTTGGCAATGAATATGCTCAAGTGAAGGTAATACTAGTGATTGCATGTATAAAATGCATTTTTCATTTTTGAAAAACAAATTTCGGGGTTTACTCTCAAATTCTTGGAATAAGTATTGTTCGTCTGCACTAATGAAAATCTGAACTAATGATTTTAATATTTATTTTCCAGGATGCTATTCACTTATTTTCAGCTGATCGGAATGAGTATGAATATGCAGTTGTTCATAATGCACTGCCAGACAGTAAACCTCATCGAATAAGATCTTTAACAAGGAGGCATGGGAACAGAGATACCTTTGACCGTGGTAAGTAATCATTAATCTAAATCATTTTTTTTTATATTGTATCACTTTTATGCTTACACTTAATTGTATACTTTGTTAATGAGATTAGAATTGTAGCATTTTGTATGTGAAATTTTATTTAATAAAACAAAATTTTTGATTTAAAATGCATTGCACCAGTTGTGTATCAATGGCAAAAAAAGAAAAATCCATTATTTATAATTAGTATTTTTTAGTTAACTGTGAATCTGCAAGATGCTGTTTTAAATAGTATTTTGCAAATTTTCTTGTTTGATTGATCTGTTAAAAAAATTCATAAGCATTCACAGCAGTTTCTTTCATAAACATGATGTTCTAGCGTTTACTCTTTTCTTGCTTGCTAATTAGATGCAAAGTTTTCCCTTATAAACGGCTATGCTTGTATTCCTCACTTGTTAGGCTCTGATTCTGAAAGTGAATGGAGTTCACTGGAGCGCAGACAAAGGGAAGTTTATACTAAGGCAAATCGTAAACCCACCCCACACAAGAAAACTCGTAAAAAGCGTGGGATACCTGTAGCTCCTCCCCGGATCCCTTCATTTGAGGGTCCACCACCTCCACTCCCACCATTTCCTGGGGGTCAGAGGATTGTGACTGCTCAATCTCTTGATCCACTCGACAAAGGTATTTTCGTTGTCCCATGGCACTATTTCAGTATAGTACTGCATGGTTTATGTTGAGACTTCTGCACATTGCATGCAGTAGTAGTGCTACCAATAACGAATAATGCGCACCAAAAATGTCTTTCTTTTCCCCCTGTCTTTTTTTCCTTTTCCTGAATCTATTTATTTATTTATTTATTTATTTAATTATTTATTTATTTATTTTAGCTGGTGAATGCTTGATTTGAAAACTAATTTCTGAGTTTTCTGTGCTTCTAGAAAAAAATTATAATACTGTTAATACTTCTTTTTGTTGCATCTTACAGTAAATAATTTAATGCTTCCTTCTTTCTGCATGAATTATGTAAAGCGAATTATTGCATTAAATCTTTAATTATAGCTCAATAACTGTCTTATGGTTTTTTAACTGATGTGCAGTACATACTTGATTTCCATATCTTTTATTTGATGTCATTAAAATAATACTTCCATGTTCTTTATGTTATGTAGTTTATTGACTATATTTAAAAATTATCAATTTCGCATACAAATTTCATAAATATTTACTTATGTGAGAAATTAATGTTATTAACACAAAAGGTAAGAAAACATTTTTTTAATATTTAAATGAAGCTCTCTATATATATTTTTGAAATTGGCAGCTAAGCAGTATATTTTTGAAAGGGGGAGTTATTATAATAATGTGCTACTTTCCTAATATTGTTTTTAAACCCTATGAAACATTTGTTAACTTCATGTGTGATTAGATTGTGTTGCTAGATGTTTTCACCAGTGTGAATATTATTGCTTGAATACTAGTGTGTAAAACCTTTTTCACTGTTTTTCTTTTGTCCATTGTCATTTCTGTAATCCCATTATTTTGACACATGTAGATCAATCACCTTGTGACTTAAAATTTTAAAAATCGGAATTTAGAAGTTCACATGTGCTTGTGATGTTTTTCCCTTGGGTGTAAACGTACTGTAGAACTGTTTCTTGGACTAAATTGTGATTGAATTTAGCTTCTTTAGAACATGTTTCTACATCTGATTTTTGTATCAATAAACCAGTCATGAGCAATGTTTAGGTAGTAAAGTAAGTAGATGACTGTGAGATGAGAATTTACTATGATTTCAGTTCGTGGAAGTGGAAACAATTCTCCCTCTGAGGGCAGCGATTTATCTGAAGATGATGATTCTCGATATAAAACTACTCATCGTCAGAAATACAAATACAAGCGCTCCTTTCGCTTGAGACGTAGAAAACAAGGTCAGCAACAGCAACAACTGCCACAACAAATGGAAAAGGCACAACCTCATCCTCCTCCTTTAGGAGATTCACTTCAATATAGTGCCCTAACTTCTGATAGTGATCTCTTCTCTCCTTCATGTAAGTTTTCTGCTATTTCTCTTTCACTTTCTCGTGAGCTTGACTTTTATTCTCCTTTCGCTTACATTTCAAAATGTTAAAGACACTTATCCTTTCTGTCCTTTTGAGCACAGGCATTGATAATAACAATTCATCCTTTAACTCTGTCTGTCAGTCTTATGCATTCATCTGTTCGAATCCATTTTAAACTAGAAACATTTGCAATTAAGTTTCTTGGGTATTGATATTCTAGCAAAACAATTCATTCAGCTTCATTTCCAACTTAAAAGGGGGGAAGAGTAATGTATCAAAATACAGTGTCTTTGAGTTTCTTATCCTCTGAATGAAATTTATTGTATTCATACTTTAGAAAATACAGTGATTAAAATATTGTATATGTGCTCTTCATATTAGATGAATTTATGCATTTCTTTATTAGTGCTTTATTTTAAATCATCTGACTATGCCATCCTCTTCCTTAAAAGTTAGCTACCGATCAATATTGTATTGATTCATTTTTTTTAATGATTAGAACTGTATTACTCTTTATGCAGTGAAATAATATATTGAAGTCCTAAATGTAGGTGGTGGTATGCAGGGAAAGCATATTTAGCTATATGCTGTTAAAATGTAGTTAACACTGATTAATTTAGTTGCTAGTATTTAATTGTATGACCGGAGACTATTTTTCCTCTTATTAAAATATTTGATTAAATTTTGTGCTAACTATTTTTGTGCATCATTGTTTATATTTATACTCATCCAGACATAGCTAAATTGCTTTATCAAAATTTATCTGTGCGGAAGAAAGCCAAATGGGAAGGCCTTTTATTTAATGTAGAAATTTGTAATAGAATGTAACCATTTTAATTTGAATTCATTTCATTTTGCTTGTGTATGCTATATTATTATGCAGTTCATGTTTCAGAACTACATTTGTTTTTTAATAATTTCTCAGCTATCTGGTTACATTTATGAATGATATTTTTAAACCTATCTTCACACCATATAAAAAATCCAGGGCTCAAAGGGTTGAACTTCTTTGAAACTATGATTATTGAATATGTAAGTGTTCACGATAATAATATATCCAGTCACTATATATACTGTGGCATACAAAATCAAAGGCTACTTTTAAAAATTTTAAATTATGTGCATTAAAGTACTATATTTTTAAGTAAGCTTGAATAAAAGTGGTACACTTTTTATGTGCCACTGAGGCAAACATTAAAAGTACTTAAAATTTGTATTAGAAATACATGGTCAAAAGAAGCAAATCACTTTAATCTGCTTTCTAATGCTTAAAACCAGTTAGTGTGGTGTGATTACCATGAATCAAAATATAGGTGGTGGGGGTTTTCCTTTAATTAAAATGGATTAAATCCTGTAGGATTTGTATTTGTTTGTTCAGAAGAGCAAATTTAAGCTCTTAGAAGCTGTAGGGGAAATGTTAGCATCCACAGGTAGGCATCATGTGAAAACTTTGATGTGTTCAGTAGGACTAATATCTAGTTAATGCACTGGGTCAAGTAATATCTTCAATCTTAAGGTACTTGTGTATCAGAAAATAAATACTGTATATTCAGATGTATAATGCGCACTTTTAATACAAAAAATTAGATTGAGATTTATGGGTGTGCGTTATACGTCGGATATAAAAATAATTGATTTGTACATGTATGTAAATACCGTTATTGGCGATTCAAGTGATTTTATAGAACCCAGTTCGCAACACTTTCTTTTATGATGGATCATTTCGTTACTTCTTTCCGTAAAACACATTCATTCTTTGTCATACTGTTTACTGCAATACCATTTCTTTTCCACTCATGTATGGAGCTTTCACCAATGCCAAACATCCTTGCTGCAGCATGGTTTATATTCTCTTTCACGAACTGAATGTGCTTTTGAAACCAGAACTATATTTGTTTCATTTGGAGGAGCCATACTTACTGCTAAAAGAAATACAGGATCAACTAGGTATTATTGTAAAGATTGCAATGTAGCTTACCATGTTTCAGACTTTACCATACCCAGAAAAATTATTAAATTTTTGAAAATATTACAGCTATTATTGATGTCAATAAAAGCATCGCCATTTGCAGATAATAGTGTGTATTATGTAAACATACGTGATTTTTATCTCTCCAAATTTACATGTAATCTTAAAGGCCTGTATTGAAACTTTTCTGCCTAGCTTAGGTGTAAGAGGAAAGCCAAATATAAAGTAAAATAAGGTAATAAATTTTACATAGTTAAAAAAAACTTAAATTTAATGAAAAATATAGTTTTATTACATAAATTATTTAAAATTTTATAAGCATTAATAAAAATTAATGAATTTTTAATAAATTTTGTGACGAGTAAGGGGTTAAGTGCTTTTCTGCTAAAGTAGAAGAAAAGAAGTTCCTTTTGCATATTAAGAACTTTCTTTCAGTCTGTGGCATGAAATAACCTGATTCTTGTACTAGGGCTGCTCCAGTTTGAAATGCGAGTTGCCTTTGCAAGGTCTTCAGATGCAGTAATAGGCCATGCACCATCTTGACCTTTCTTATGTGTAATATTTGTGGTGCTTGAAAAATAAGCCTGTGTACCCCTGAGAATATGTATTGTGTTGAATATTTTAAGTCAAAAAAGTTACCTATTTTCAGCTTAACAGCACCCATTGTATCAACTTCTACCAGCATTTCTAGATCATATCTTCTGCTAATCAGCTGACAAAAAAAAAATGAGTACCAGCTTCTTGATTTTTGCCTGATGTCTCTACTGTTATAGGATACCTTAATATCCATGCTTTTGCTGTGCTGAAGATCTGATCAGCCTACTTATAGTTTATTTGCTTGGTAAATCTTTCATGAGTCTGTGATAATGTATATCTACCCCACTAATTTGGCTTATTTTCCCAGGTGTTTATGAAAACTATTCTAGATGCAAAATCCGTTTTTTTTTTTTTTTTTTTAATGAATTCAAACATTTTTGCAAAGATACTAAAAATGATGCCGGATTATTACTGTGTAGTGGCAATACTGTGCAGGCATTTTACTTTCTGTATGAATTTGTATGCTTTGTTTTGTAAAAAATCAGTGTTCCCACTTTGGAAATAGAATTCTTCCATTCTGTTTTGCTAGAATTAACAAGTACCCAAGGCTTTAGCAACTTTAAAGTGTGTTTGACAGTAATTTGTGTGTTGATGTGTTTATTTCATGAGAAAGTTTTTAACAAACACACAATGTCCATAAAATTACTTCTGTTGCTTTTTTCAACTGTTGGGTCAATTATTTTTCAGTACGTATACTTTCAGTTACAAAAATGTTTTAAATGACTGAAGTTTTCATGTTTAAATTTGAAAAGTTAGTTTTGTAAATGTTATACTTTTCTTAATCCCTTCGCGCCGACTGTCACGTCTTAGTGCCAGCAACGAACACACTCACCTACCGGCCGACACGCAGGCGTGACAGCATTTTCCCATTTACTACCTACTGTCACGTATTTGTGCCAGCATCCTGGAACGTTTTTCAAACTATAATTTCTGCCACAAGATGGCACTGTATGTCCATATGGTTTCAGATACATGTACATTAGACCTTCTACTCGAAATGAGAGAAGCATGACTCACATACACGTGTTTTTGATTATATAAACAAATGGGGAACTAAATGTTTCCGAATGGCGTGATTTATGACGTCTCTTTAAATTGCACTTTATTCGCACGTGGTAGTTGTTTATTGTAAGTAGAAGTTTTATATGCGCTAAAGCGGTGAGTATTTCGGTTTACAGTTCAGTTTTTAGAAAAAATATTAGATCTTGTTAGACGTGAATTCTTTCTGTTACCGTTGCAATGTCGAAGCGTCGAAAATGTTTAACAGAGCATGAAATAGCAGAAATGATGCAAAATATTTCAGATATTGATTCTGAAATTCTGATATTCTAATATTGACTCTGAAAGATTAACTGAAAGACATTTTCCAAAACATTGTTCAGAAGAGACTGATAAGAAAATGAGACTACGATGCTTCGTTTGTTCACATTCCCGGAAAAATCCTCCAAAACGGCAAATGATTTATTACGAGTTCAAGGAATGTAACATAGGACTGTGTGTAGATCCCTATTTTCAAATTTTTCATACGAAAAGAGAATTTTAAGTAATATATTTAGTTTTCAGATGTATAATGTTAAAAGTCATGAAAAGGTGAGTAATTAAAATAAAATGTGTAAAATATGCATTTAAACAAGAAATAAGGTAATTAAAGTATATATATATAAAAATATCTATAAAGCATAAGCCATTTAAATACTCTATAGAGCATTATTAAACAATGCGTTGATACTTCAGAAATTTCATGGATTTAGGCTTAGTAGCAAAAAAACCCCCCGGCCCTGGAGAGACGCTCGAGGAAGACACTGCCGGCCTCCGCGATAAGCGCGCGTTTTCGCTACCCAGCTCGAAGGGGTTAAACTATGTAGCTATGTTTTATTAGAGCACATGTTCATTCTCAACTTTTAAAAAGTATTTTTTCCTAATACAACACAATTACTCAACTTTTTAGCATAATGTCTCATTTGTCCGTCTACTAATGAATAGTAATTTACAATCTTCACACAAAAAAGGAACTTCTGGACACTTAGGGAAAAAAAAACACAGTCCCCCCCTTCCTTTTTGCAGCATGACTCTGTGATTAACTGCAGTCAGCTGTCAGTATCAGGTTACAGTTTAGAACACACCAAATCACAGTTATAAATATTATGTTTGAAAAAAGAAGCAAAATTATGACAAGGCATAATTTAGTTACATAAAATTTTTTCATGAAATTTAATCATGAAATTTGAAACCAATACCGCAAAAATCAAAGAAATTAAATTTCAGAGTCTTGTATTTTTGCTTTTTTTTTTTTTTTTTTTTTTTTTTACCTTGCCTGGGTAAGTTAACAACTAAATTGAATTATTTTACGTTGATTTTTTCACCTTTTCATATGTTGTTCAGTTATATTCCTTTGTAAGTTACTGCTGTGTAGCATTCATTA